AATGCTGGACTCGTCCAACTAACTAGCGGGATCCCTATTTCTCCTTCGGATCCTACTCCAGATATATCAGAGACCTCATCCTCACGTCCCAGTCAACAGCACAAGTCATCTGCCCTATCTACGGATGAGACTCTGGTCTCAAGTCCAGACCAGCAGACCACGCCGCCATTGACTTCGGATGAGATTGCAGGCTCACGAGGTAGCGCTAGACTATCGTCTCGCATTCCGGTCGCCGCGTACACCTGCCTGTACGTTTTCGCGACTGACCACCCAATCAACAACGGACACAGAAAAAGACATTATCCTCATACTACATGCATGCTAAACCTTTCTCTGTTTCTTTATTTTTTTTTTCTATCCTGAGCCCATGCCTCCGACCATTGCCCTGTTGGTACCGTCGACTTCAGTCAACCGTGGCGAAAGCTGGCCTGATCACCCACACTCTTGTCAATGCACTCAGTCGATTTTCTGGTTCCGAACATATCTGGCATACGTATGCTTTCGAACTTAATCGTCCTGGCTCCTTCACTCAATCTGGTTCCGTCCTACGTCTGCGGCGTTTTCTAGTCCGGACACCTACGAACGCAATCTCCAGACTCTGGATACGAGCCACGCTGGTGTGGCACGCCAGCTCGAGCAGCAAACCTGATACGTTACTATTGGTACAGTTCAACGCAGAAGACTTTCGGTGACAGCTTGAGCTTCATTGGTCACTTCCTGTCCGTCAACCCTTCCGCACTACGATCACACGTTGACCGATCAGCCCCTCCCCGCACGAAGACCCTACGTATCGAAAGTGTACACCCTTTCTAGGTGGGGCTGATGTAGTGGAACACTTCCACTAAGAAAACGCGATTGGTGAAAAATAAACACTTATTATTGCACTGGTTTTGTTTAATTGTACCAAGAACACTTACTTACAGCGACCTTCTTTTTTCGCGTTGCCGTCATCATTCCTAACTTGCTGCTCACTTTATCGCCCTCTTTCTCCTTCAAATATATTCTTTACCGTGGATTTACTTCTGCTTATCGTGACGGGATAGTAATTAGTATTTAGTGGTGATCAGAATCAATCTCGACTCGGTCACTACTAAAGAGTATTGAAACTTCATCAGTTGAGGTGGTTGGGACATATGTTACGTATGCCTAACCACCGCCTGCCTCGACGAGCAATGTTTTGTCGTGCAGAAGTAGGTTGGAAGAAAACTAGGGGCCGTCAAACCAAAACATGGCACAAATCCATGAAGTTATTGAAAACTGGTGTGAGTCATGTTGGTGAGTATAGACTACCTAGTTGGGGTCCGCGAGACAACAGTGACCGATAGTTAGAGACCTTGAACGACATGGTTCGAAATCGTTTGCAACGGCACAGATGCATTCATTCATTATGTTATCTCATATTATAACCTTCTGAATTCCTCATCACCTTTATTTTTTTTCTTTTTAAGTTTATTTCACCAGATTCTACTTCTTGAATAATATCGTCGAACCCTAATCTCTGCTACTACTGCTAATTCTCCTACTATCTCTACCTTTATGGGATTAGAAGTGACAATTGCATCTCTGTGCTAATGTAGTATGGCAACCTGAACTGATGTACGTGCGTACGTACGAAGTTCTACGTTGTTATTGGCTTGACTTGCATACCTGATCCTTTATGGTTAGGTTTGTGTTACAAAAGTGATCAATACATCCCAGTGTCAAAGATTGGCATCTTATCTTTAGACGATAGCAGCTTTTCTGTTGGTAATTGTCTACGTGAATTATTCCAACTTTTGGTCACACTAGTTAATCCAATTATTTCAAGGTGTGATAAACACATAGTTTGAAATTTGTCAATTATACACAAGTAACATTGATTGTTTTTGTAATAAATGTATTTGTAGGCTTTTTTTCAATCACCTACTCTATTTGTTACATGTTTAGTTTATTTTTATATAGAACAATAAATGTTGAGTCACATTTAATAAAATTGAGGAGGCTGAGAAGCCATTCGCCATGTTTTCTGTTTGTTTAAATGAATTCTTTCAACACCATTCGTATTCAACCGTTAACTCGAGTATAATATACGAAATTAAATGAAAAATCCATCGGTCACGGATCATTCATTGTTGTCTGTCAGTCAGTCAGTTGCAACGTAGAACTTCGTATGTACGTACATATGTTCGGCTTGCCATATCAATTAGAACAGAGATGTAATTGTCAGTTCAAATCCCATAGAGGTAGAGATAGTTGGAGTATTAGCGGTAGTGGAGAAGAGTAGGGTTCGAAGATATTATTTAAAAAGTATAATTCAGCGAGATAGCTGTAGAAAGATAAAGGTGATGAAGAATTCAGGTTATAATTTGAGAGAACACAATGAATAAATGCACCTGCGCCAGTGCAAACGATTCTGAGCCATGTCATTCTAGATCTCTAACCATCGGTTACTATCGTCTCGCGGACCCCAACCAGGTAGTGTACACTCACCAACGTGACTTAATCCACTTGTCAGTGTCTTCATGGATTTGTGCCATGTTTTGGTTTGACGGCCCCCAGTTTTCTTCCAACTTCCTCCTATTGTTGTTTGTAATGGAATCGATTCTCAGAAAAAGGGGACTAAAGCACTTTCCTATTAGGTATTTTGAGTTAATAATCTTCATTTTGACTTCCAGAATGTTATAAAGCTGCTATGTAGCTATTCGGAATCGTACTGATTGACCAAATTCAGATATTCCAATACGACCCCAAATACTGTACCCAAATCTCCAATATATCAGAACATAACACCGCCAGATGAAGTTGTTTATGGAGTTGAGTACAGAAGCAATGAAGGAAACATAAGCTTTACAGATAATGCATATTTATACAGTTAGGTCGAATAGGAAACAACTTTGAAGTCTGTGACATTGAGAGTTAGGACGACCATAATATTATTGACCAGTAGGAATTGACCAATAGAATTAGACTTACAAAAATAATTCTCTTAGGATATTTAATGAATATCCTAACACAGACCTTTTGAAACTCAATTAAAATTTGTTGTTTTAACTCCACAATAACTCAATTGAATATACATTATCATTTACAGTTGTTTTATTGACTAACTATAATACTTTTTTTTCAGTCATTATTTTATTTATTAGAATCCTATTGCTTCCAGTTAATAATGGCAACATGAACTGATGTACGTACGTACGAAGTCCTACGTTGCTATTGATTGATTGATCGAGTTAATAAATCATTGAATAGAAATTACGTAATCTATTTGAAACTATATAATTATTACGTCACATTCCTAATCGAAAAGTATAACTCCGCCTGTAGTCCCTTCGGGGCTACTGCCGGTCCCAAGCCCGGATAAAGGAGGAGGGGTTGGCGCCCCCATCCCAACTAAAACTAACTTGCCAAAAAACGCTAACCAGAAAAAATAATTCAAACCATTTTAACTCTGCCCTGGGAGTTGAATTGTGACGTCGCGTGATGAAAGCCGAGTTCCCTCGGAAGTCACGGGGCCGATGCCTCTTCTGACAACCAGAGCAACCATCTTTTTAGGTACATGGAACGTTCGTACATTGTGGGAGACTGGAAGACTATTTCAAGTTGCGGCAGAAATGAAAAGATACAACCTCGAGGTGCTCGGCATCAGTGAAACGCATTGGACACAGGTAGGACAACTGAGACTAGCTCCAGGGAAACTGCTGTTATACTCTGGTCATGAAGAGGAAAATGCTTCACATACACAAGGAGTTGCAGTGATGCTGTCCAAACATGCACAAAAGGCACTGATAGGATGGGAATCTCATGGACCCAGGATCATTAAAGCATCCTTCAAAACAAAGAAAGAGGACATTACAATGAACGTCATCCAATGTTATGCACCTACCAATGACTACAATGACGACGTTAAAGATCAATTCTACGAAAGGCTGCAAATAATCGTCGAGAAATGTTAACCAAAGGATTTGACGATTCTTATGGGAGACCTGAATGCCAAGGTTGGCATGGAAAACACTGGATATGAAGACATCATGGGACGACATGGACTGGGAGAAAGGAACGAAAATGGTGAGAGATTTGCAAACCTATGTGCCTTCAACAAACTAGTCATCGGCGGCACAATATCCCAACACAAACACAAAGCCACATGGATTTCACCGGATCACACTACTCAGAACCAAATCGACCATATCTGTGTCAAAAGAATTCAGAAGGACGATGGAGGATGTGAGAACCAGGAGAGGACCTGGCATAGCCTCAGATCACCAATTGCTGGTCGCCAAAATGAAACTGAAACTCAAGAAGCACTGGACAACGGGGCAGACAACATCACACAAGTTTAATACGGCCTTTCTTCGGGATACCGTAAAACTCAACGAATTCAAGATAGCCCTCAGCAACAGGTTCCAGGCCTTGCACGGTATACTCAATGGAGAGGACGCAACATTGGAGAACAATTGGAAAGGGATCATGGAGGCAATCACTTCAACATGTCATGAAGTTCTGGGCCGCAGGAAGTACCGCCACAAGGAATGGATCTCTGTTGATACTCTTGCAAAAATTGGAGAAAGGAGGAACAAAAAGGCAGTAATCAACGTCAGCCGAACAAGAGCAGAAAAAGTTACCGCACAAGCCGCATACACAGAATCAAACAGGGAATTGAAGAAGAGCATCAGAGCTGAAAAACGAAAATATGCGGAAAATCTAGCAATGACGGCGGAAAAGGCTGCAAGAGACGGAAACTTGAGGCAATAGTACGAAACAACAAAGAAGCTGGCTGGAAATTATCGTAAACCAGAGCGACCAGTGAAAAGCAAGGAAGGCAAAGTAATCAGCAACACTGAACAACAGCGAAATAGGTGGGTAGAGCACTTTAAGGAACTCTTGAATCGACCAGCTCCACTGAACACACCCAACATCGAAGCAGCATCCACGGACCGCCCAATTAATATTGGCTCACCTACAATAGAAGAGATCAGTATGGCCATCAGACAAATCAAGAGCGGCAAAGCAGCAGGACCAGACAACATTCCAGCAGAGGCAATGAAAGCAGATGTGGAAGCAACTGCGAAAATATTTCACATCCTCTTCAAGAAGATTTGGGATGAGGAACAAGTACCATCAGATTGGAAAGAAGGATACCTCATCAAAATACCAAAGAAAGGCGATCTCAGCAAGTGTGAGAACTACAGAGGCATCACTCTTCTTTCAATACCAGGCAAAGTCTTCAACAGGGTATTGTTAAACAGAATGAAGGACTTCGTAGACGCCCAACTTCGAGATCAACAGGCCGGATTTCGTAAGGATCGATCATGTACTGACCAAATTGCTACATTACGGATCATTGTGGAACAATCAATTGAATGGAACTCACCACTCTACATCAACTTCATCGACTACGAGAAAGCATTCGATAGCGTGGATAGGAAAACACTGTGGAGGCTTCTTCGACACTACGGTGTGCCTGAGAAAATAGTTAACATCATACGGAATTCTTATGATGGATTCAACTGCAAAATCGTGCACGGAGGACAGCTAACAGACTCGTTCGAGGTAAATACCGGTGTGAGGCAAGGTTGCTTACTCTCACCCTTTCTCTTTTTTCTGGTGATCGACTGGATTATGAAGATGTCGACATCTGGAGGGAAGCACAGTATCAGACGGACAGCCAGGATGCAGATAGATGATCTGGCTCTTCTATCACAAGAGCAGGCGACCAGTGTAGCAGAAGTCTCTGCAGCAAAATGGGAAAAGCAAAATTCTCCGATGCAACACAACACGCACCAACCAAATCACGCTTGATGGAGATGCCTTGGACGACGTTGACACCTTTACATATCTGAGCAGCATCATCGACAATGAACGTGGATCCGATGATGTTAGGGCGCGGATTGGCAAAGCAAGGGCTGCATTTCTACAATTGAAAAATATCTGGAACTCCAAAAAAATATCAATCAACACCAAAATCAGGATTTTCAATACAAATGTCAAGACAGTTCTACTGTATGGAGCGGAATCTTGGAGAACTACGAAAGGCATCATCCAGAAGATACAAGTGTTTATTAACAGTTGTCTACGCAAAATACTTCGGATTCGTTGGCCAGACACGATCAGCAACAACCTACTGTGGGAGAGAACAAACCAGATTCCAGCGGAGTTGGAAATCAGGAAGAAGTGGTGGAAGTGGATAGGACACACATTACGAAAAGCACCTAACTGTGTCATAAGACAAGCCCTCACTTGGAACCCTCAGGGCAAAAGGAAAAGAGGAAGGCCAAGGAACATATTAAGCCGAGAAATAGAGAAAGACATGAGAAGGATGAACAAAAATTGGACATAATTGTAAAGGAAAGCCCAGGACAGAGTTGGTTGGAGAAAACTGGTGGGCGGCCGATGCTCCGTTGAGGGTAACAGGCGAAAGTAAGTAATGATGAAAAACTAATGGAAAAGAGATTTATTCATTCTGTTTATCTTTTTACTATATTTAAATCATGAACCGACAAATTTTGGACCACTTCTATTAGAAACCAGGAAGTACTGGACGGCCATTTTGTCCTAGCATCGAACTCATTAGCACTGCGCATCCACTACTCTCGCTCGCACAAGTCGAACCCAGGACCCACTGTCTTGCATGCCAACGCTTAATCTCTAGACCACTGAGCTGGCATCCAACGGTGTTTTAGAACTTCGAACAACCCATGCTCTTGAGCAAATTGATCCAGTTTCAAATGAATACTGCTTTACGTCCGACAGGGTTGAATTCCACTGATCATGACTTCTAGATGTGTCTAAACGAGAATCTCCGATACATGATTGAATTTATTTTACGCACATCTGTTGCGAAAATATCATATAGACACATAAGTAACATGTGCGTGATATTACGACTCATTCAACAACGAATTCCACATAAACCTACAATAACACCTTTGTTGATGGCATAGCAAAATACAAGGGGCGGCTTCGCTCCGCAAAAAGATCCAAGTAATACTTTATACTACTTATTTTAAATTAGTAGTATTTATAAAATAAGAGACATAAATAGCATGACAGTAAAACGACTGTAAAACAGTCGAATGGTGTCGATCTATAAAGATTAGATTCTACTGATCTCACGTGAAGCACGAGATACAGTGGACAGCTCGGATACGGCTGGATAATTTGAACTTCGCAGATGATCTACCTCTCCTATCCTATCCACGAACAAAAAATGATGACGGAAAATTTAGCATCAGCCTCTGCAGCTGTAGGTCTCAACATATACAAAGGGTAAAGCAAGATACTGCAGTACAACACAACATGCACCAATCCAATCATAATTGATGGAGAAGCATAGAGAGATGTAAGAACTTTCACATAACTGGGTAACATCAATGATAAACAAGGAGGACCTCATGCAGATGTGAAGATACGGATCAGCAAAGCAAGAGCAGCAAATAAAGAACATCACGAACTCAAAACAACTATCAACTAACACCGAAGTCACAATCTTAATATGAATGCCAAGGCAGTTCTACTGTATGAGGCGGAAACTTGGAGAACTATCAAAGCCATCATCCACAAGATCTAGGTGTCTTTAACAGTTTTTTACGCAAAATTCTGAGGATCCGTTGACCAAGTATCATCAGCAACAATCTACTGTGGTAAATAACAAAACCAAATTCTAGCTAAGGAAGAAATTAGGAAAAAGCGCTGGGGGTGGATAAGACACAGACTACGGAAATCACCAAACTGCATCGCGAGGCAAGCCCTAACTTGGAATCCTCAAGGCTAAATAACACATTACGCCGAGATTTGGAGACAGACATGAAAAGAATGAAAAGCGGTAGGGTAAACTGGACAGGAAAGTCCAGGACAGAGATGGTTAGAGAATGCTAGTCGGTGGCCTATACTGCATTAGGAGTAACAGCAACAGTGAAATCTAATTCATTAGATTATATCGTCTATATTTGATAATTTTGTATGATCAAAAAATCTGTTGGAAAATAATTGTATATTGTAAATTATTCTTGTTACAAAAATATATCAATATAAGAAGCTGTCTAACTAGTATTCACTGCGACTCAATTCTTCTTGTTTTTGACGGTGGACCGTCTTCCTCGTCGCTAGAGATAACCAATTGAGGACTGTGGTCTCGGGGTGGATGAGCTCGTTTTAACGATTTACCACTGGGCTCTTCTTTATTGTGATCTAATACAACACAATCACTACAAAACAATGTGTAACAAAAGAAAAAATTGGTTTTTTTAGACGTTGATTAGAATATAAAATAGTCTAGTAGTGAAATAAATAAGAGACTTTTCGGTTATTCTAGTTTTGTACGTGGTAGAGCACTATGAAAAGTTTTATGATGTGATAATATGTAATATGTGATAACCTGCTATGTGAGGACTAAAACGATATTTCTGAGTTACAAATTGAAACTTCATTTTATCTATGGTGGCTTACGTAACTAGCAGAAGTATTACATTTTAAATGAAATGAATATTGAAAGGCCCATACATGAACTCGTGATCAGTTACTGAGTTACGTGGGATCAAACTTACTGATATCTTAAATAATATCAGTTAGTTATGATCAACGCAGAGATTAGCACAAATATGTTACGCCAAGTTCCAATGCCACATCAGTACGGTAGGATGAAATTAAAAAAGTGAGCAGAAAAGGACTTGATAATGAGAAAGAATGAACATTGAAAATATAACTCGAAAAGACGGAATGAAGAAGTATGTGTGAATGAACACTGGATACACTTAGACCTATGTGACGGATTCTAAGCTAATCCAGCCAATCTTACCAACGAATGAGCATAGATGTCTTCTGAACCGTTAAAACAGAACAAATATTGGGAAGGTTGAAGCTCTTAGTATTATTTTCCGGATCATTATTTACATCTTTACTGTTGCATTTGTGTGTTCACCTTAACGTAAGCTTTCAGTGGACTTATTGACTGCTGTTATATTTTTTATTATTCCCTGGTTACTGCTAATTAGTTTTGTCCTGCTTGCTCTACCCTTTGTCACTTAATAGTAAGAGTTTGCTTAAATTATAGTTTCTCATTTAGTATGCTGTATAGCTGTATAATGTGCTGTATATTGTTGCACGCGTATTGAAGCACATGAATTGGGTACCATAAAGAACCAATGTATATTCTATAGTCATCTGATTGACTACTGGGTTAAAAGGACCATCAATAAAAGTGAAGGCCTTGGTTGATATTCGTTGATTAATGAGTAAATTCGTGAAAAAAGTCACTGGTCCGTCTGGAAACATAGTACGTGATGTCAATTAGTTAGGCCACAAACAAACCAGTTTTCCGAAATAGCACGAGCACATTTGAAATGATATCCCATGAGATAGATACAGTGAATTATAATCGTGTAATGGCTAAGACTTAGTCTCATTAATTTGATTTAATTTAAACATAATTATTGATACTAAAGGGGCACCTAAATATGTATGCGCAACACAAATCATTGGGTTTGTGATTAGGCTAGGATATTGCTTGAATGACGAAACCAAAGCAGACGGATTCCCCAGGGGGCCACACCTCCAACCCTTGACACAAAAGTCTAACCCACAAGACAATTGGGCAACGTAAGGAGATACAGGTCATGGTGGCTGATGACCAGTAATAGGTTCATACGCGATTTGCTTCATCGAGATCCTGGAGCCCGTCTCCATTAATTTTACACCTACACCGCACTGACCTAAATTGATGACATTTTTTGACCAAATAAACTTACTAGCTTGTGTGAGTAGTGCTATAACTTGTTTCAGGACTGTTATCAACACAACTCATACTCTGCAAACAAAATGGTGTGGTTATATGAACTATTCCAACCCATTCCAAATCTACAACTATTGTAGATACCTAACTGATCACTAGCAAAAATTTAGAGTCGTTGGATAACGTCAAGACGTGAGAGCAAGGGAATTAAATGAATCGTCTTGGCTCCTGGGTAAAATAGATTGTAGTTCTAACTTTAGCGAACGACGATCAAAACACAATTACAGGATACCTGAAGCACTAGTTGAGAAAAATCAAAACACATGACGTATTATGATTTAAAACTGGGAGCTTTTGGAGTTAACAATAATCTCGGGGAATTTTTTCGCCTCTGTTACGTTAATAAACATGAATAACGTATTATCGATTAACGTTAATAAGGTTTGAATAGTTATTTACACTTACTTGTCTTTTATCGAGCGAACAGATAATCTGTGTGTGGGAAACTGACGAATATGCCATGATGAATCGGAAGCTTTCACTACATATGGTATGTAAGGAGTCTGACAGTCTGTAACGCACAGGCTGAGAGGATCACCTTGATCATTTAGGGTAGGCAAAACACGAGAGAACAGTGAATCTGGTTTTTTTACCAACCGTTTCATAAACTTCCGAAGGAATTTTTCCACCTGAGGGTTGGAGGTGTCTAGAAGCATTTTAGAACTGTAACCTGGAGGGATTTGAACTACTGATATGATGTAGTCGTCAAGGTTCATTCTCGTAAATAACTTGAAAAGATGGACTTTAAACGAATAGTCAACAGTGAAAATACTCTTATTTGATTAGGAATTAGTTAAACTGGACCAATTAGTTGTGTTTATAAACACAAAATCAAACTACTTCCTTGGGTGATCGAAATACCTTGACAGATTAATTCCTGAACGACTTTGACTGAATTAATAATTCAAAGCCAGCAAAATATCACAAACAATAAGAAAACTTGACAAAACAGTGATTGTGAATGAATATAAAATATTATATCTTTGTGACGCGCGAGTACCAAGCTGATAAATTCTTCGAACTCTTGCAGCAATGTGATAAATAAAAATTATTAATCGTATGCGCTTCGAATTTAGATGACCTAATAAGCAAGACAAACAGGATCTCAAACCGCTACACTAACGTTAACGTGAGACTGTGGTAACGTTAGTAGTAAATACTGCGCCACTCAATTTCCAATATCTCTTTTACGAACTAGTATAAACCAAACGATTTCTTTGTGCTCAGTTTTTGTCCATTCAGCACGGTTCCAGGTCTTTGTCAGTGTTCGACAGATGGTAGTCTGGCCACTCAACTGCCTAATTTTGATCAGTTGACAGTTATATATGAATTTGTATGTCCCGTGATTTAAGTGATTGTTTTTGGGTTTCTGGATGCCAGCAGCCATCACATTACCATGTTAGAGATCAATTAGTTGCAATATAAGGAATAATAAGGATAAAATTCTGATATTGATGAAAAGGGAAATTTTTCAAAAACAAGTAAATAAATTAATTAACTAATTAATTAGAAGTGGAGATTGTGCAACAGAATAGAAAAGTAAGAAAATGAGAGGAAACAGAGATAATAAGCGAGTTATAATAAATAAGTGATCTGAGGATATGACAATAATAACGGTTGTTAAGTTTCCAGATGTGTCAGGCACAGCTGGTCCAAGCTGGAGATGATAATCCGTTTGTGAATACCTATTTATAATAATAATAATAACAATAATAATAATAATAATATATTCTCCAATAGAAACAAGTCACAAAAGGGATGCCGAATTACAGACAAGACCGAAATGTTAAAATCTCAAACATATTTTTTGTAGAAGGTTGTTGGTTTACGTAAATATCTCACAAGATACACTGACGGCTTATAGATGGCTAAAATCTTTCACATAAAATTGTAGATAACGATTCAGACTATGCAGTGTACAACACGAGAGTTGGTGTGAGTTACGACGGTTGTAGTGCGACAAGCCACTGGTGGTTGAGAACCAGTACAAGGCAAATCCAGTCCTACATATAGCATATATAGCGTTTCGAACGATATGATTCTTCGCGAGAACAAATGTTATCCTCAGACTAAAAGAATCAAGAAAGAAACGGATTCTAGAGGAGGAAGTATATTTGATACTGGCCTCATGATATCGAAATAGCGTCGAAGCAACAGCGCTTACAGAAAGCTAACGTCCAAGCAGGAGACGTGCGAAGAGGAGAATGGGAATAACACGCTTGGCGCGCGAGAGATAGTTTTTTATACAGAAAAACAAGAGGTGTACAGTATAATAATTACTGTCAGAATTAAGTAAAATAATAAATGATTATATCTCAGCAGCTGTGTTTTATTCGTAAAAGTAAATCACTACAAGGTAAATACGCAAATATCTTCTTGTTGATATTCTTCAGGCTCCTAGCTATAGTGACCAAGTCTTAGGCAACTGTTGAAGGTAACATTTAAGGAGTATGATGTTTCTGTCATTGTTTTCTAAGGGTATTCTAAATATTTGGTGGACCATAAAAGATTGCCTCGGGATTGGGTGCGGGTTCCGGAAATAGATGATAAATCTGTTTAGAGTCTAACAATAAATATAATGGTCTACTGAACCTGTTGATTGTGTCACAGATGCGGATAGAAATTGGTGATCTGTTCCACAATAAACTGTATCGCGTTAAAATTAAATGACAACGCAACCATTTTTTGTGATCTGCCAATAGTAATGTATATGCGTTGTTCCTAAATCAGGGTCGTAAAACATAACTAGGCAGGATTTTACAAACGAGAGGCCAGATATTATTTTATGGGGGAGTATTAGGTTGTTTTTTGAACGAAGGCGTAATAAAGGTTCTAAGGAAAGATGTTTGCATCTTTCTGTGGAATCAAGAGTATGCTTCCATCCTAGAAGTCGCCCTATGAAGCTTCTCTGGACATTTTCTACTCGTATCTTGTCTATGATATTCATGTTTGAAAAGATAAGTGAGCAATATTCAATGTAGGGCCTTATATATATATTTTGAAGTATGTAAGCTCACCCTCATTTGTGAAGAAGCTCTTACTTACAATCTCCACCAGCCGTCCAGATTTAGAGATAATAGTAGAGGCATGTTCTTCAAATTTTAGGCTTCCGAAGTAATAAGTACCCAGATATGAGTGTCTAGTATGAGTGTCTGAACTCGACACTTTTGTAAGTAGAGTGGTATTTGATGGTTGTGCTTACTAAGATGTATGATGCTACTTTGTTGTGGTTGAAAGGTAGCTGCCATGTTTCGTTTCAGGTAGATATGTCTTGAAGCTATCCAGTGAAGGGGCAGCAGTCACCAGGGAGCGGACTTCGATTGAGGATGTAAGTTGTTTACGTCATGTGGGGCAGAATGTTCGAGACATGACATTTCGACTGGCTAACTTTTAAATCGTTGTCGACTGCCCATTTTTTTTATTGTTGTAAGGTCCTTCTGGAGTTTTAATGAATCCTCTTAGCTTTTAATGAACGTTTGAGTCATGTGCATGAATTGTTGCTACCGATCTAGTTTTATCTAACAACTCAATAATGAATATCACGACCTAGAATAGTACCCCGATGTTGAGACTCGCCACCTGGCATACTCTCCGTCTATCTTGATACGAAGCATCCTGTTCTCAGATCCAAGATATAAATATATCATTGAAGCCCATCCTCACAACCTACGATATCAAGGGTACATTTGGAGTTGTGTCGAAAGCCATCGAAAATCAAGGAATACTTTGCGGAGTTGTATTTTCGTTCGTGCGAAGAATTCAAGGTCAGACGGAACAAATATAGTTGTAGAAGACGCGGTTTACCTACAAAATATGTAAACATTGTCGGCGCGATTTTACAGCCACGCTCGAGATAGCGAGAATCAAACTTTGGTGCGAACTTTATTCATCAACATGGCTACTGTACTCATTAAAGTATACTTACAGAAAGCAGTGAACAATGAAAGCCTACCAAAACATAAACATCACTAAATTCACTTCACACATGTCAAGAGTCACGTAAGCAGTTATGATGAAGGAAAAATTACAACATAGCAAATATCGCAGCTGCATTTAATTCTACAATGAAGATTATTGCAAAATATATATAATTTAGTGATTAAAGGGATGAAAACATGACCTTTATTGCCAACCGGAAAACTATCAGATAAAATGACAACTCAGAAATTATCCCAGCACTTAAATGCCATATCATTATTAAAGCTAATATCAGTTCGTGATGAAAATCTCCAACTCAAATGTCGAACTCGAAAATCCAACTCTACGTCCTAATACTTGTTCCTCATGCTGATTTACAATTCTCTTGCAACCACACTAAGTCGGTCAATATCCTCAAAATTATCTTGGCACCGCTCAAACATCGTCCATAAAGCATAATTTCACCATTTAATCTTCAGACATCTATCTGCGTTACAAGCAGGTTTTAACTGTCTTCTCTCATATCTCTCCCTGTCATTGATTTACGTGAATCATGCCATGCATTTTGATCTATAAAAGCGTCTGTGGTAGCAGCGACTGGGCGACAATCCGCTGCAAACTTTTTACATGACACTTTAAGAATGCCATCCACCACTACAGAATCTAACAGTGGACAATTCTTTACAATTTTCAGTGAAACTGGTGTTAGGAATCCGACTCTTAGTGTTATTTTCTGGGAAATAGATGGGACTATCACCCATCCTTACTCTGACTTTGGATGAAGTTCAAAAAGCAATGGGAAATCTAAGGTGAATGAGAGCATCAGACCCTGACAAGCTTATCCCTAAGATTTTTAAGGATAGTGGTCCAGTTTTAGCAGATAGATTGACTAGGGTCTTAGGGAGAATAGGGATTTGGACGTAATCCCCATTGAGTGGTCTAAATCACTGGTTGTCTTGGTCTTCAAGAAAGGACAAAAGCTCTCTTGTGACAGTCATGGAGAAATCAAGTTGTCCAATTTAGTGTCTGTAATTCTAGCTTCAATAATACTTCGGCGCTAAAAAAGAGCTCGTGAACAACAAACCCAAGAAAACCAGGCTGTTCTTAGACCGAAACATGTATGTGCATGCTTACTTGTACCTGATAACCCCAGTGAAATATAGGCCGCCGACCAGCATTCTCAGACCAACTCTCTCCTGGGCCTTCCTTTCCACTTCTTTCCTATCGCTGTTCATTCCCCCCATGACTGCTTCCGAATCGCGGAGTAATTTGTTCTTTGGTATTGAGGGTGCTTACCTCAACTGTGTCCTGTCCACTTCTAGCGCCTCTTCCTGATTTCTTCCTCTGCAGGGATCTAGTTTGTCCTCTCCTACAGTAGGTTGTCGCTGACAGTATCTGGTCAGCAGATCCGAAGTATTTTGCGTAGACAACTGTTAATCAATACTTTTAGCTCCTCAATGATGGCTTTCTTAGCTCTCTTAGTTTCCGCTTCATATAGTAGAACTGTATGTGTGTCATCCTAGAAATAGGGTAGCTCCTTAATAATCTGATTAATAGTCTCAGTACGCCTAGAAGTTAGCTAAATTTATTTGGGTTTCCCTCTGCGTGAATAAGTAAGTGTATAGATACCTTGAGCTGTGACTAAGAATATGACATGGAATATTACGTGAGTTCTTCCAACTATTTTGAAGATCGTTCAAAACCTTGTTTGAGCATGTCATGTTACGAAAACTCCAAAAAACTTGAATTACTCCATCTCCACTCCCATACAGTCTTTCCAAAATGGATTTGGTGTTCAAATGATGCAAAATTAGGGCAGACTATCAGGGAGATATCAATGATACGCTACTGTAAAGCATATACCCTTAACACAGATGTTTGCGAAAATCTGGAATATTTGTCCAGATTCCATAGGCTATGGTCTGACTTCACAAATTCGTAGGATACAGAAGATACTGGGATAACCATGTTGAGTAACTCCTCATCAGCTATTTGGATATTTTGATATTCCCTAACCGGGTCATATCGTGTAGATCACTTTTGAAATCTGCTTTGCAACTTGAGATTGTCTGCTTGTTGAAAGGTCTGTATTTCTAAAATGTTCTCCTTCTCTTTACATCGAGATTGTGCTATGTTGTGTAAGAAATGTATGATTTATTACTAGCCATTACTAGTACAGTGATTTATGCGAGTAGAGTAATAGACCTATTTCACGATTGAAGATGGCCGCGATGTGACTACCTAACCTATAGGGTCCTACGCGGGACTTACATCATGGTCTACGCTCACTTGTCCTATCGTGAAAGTCAGCGGCATATTTCCAAAAGCGTCTGAATAACACAAGGGGCCGGGGATACAATAATATATTTGACATGAAGAGCAATAGATTGCACAGGTTGACTACTTCTGCATTACCAAGCTAAGCTGTTTTGATTGAGTGTTCCCGCGCCTACTGTTTCTGACCTTCCCCAAGTGCTCAGAAGACAACGCAAGTCTTTTCATTTATTGCATGTTTAGCTTTGAGCATCATGCAGTTATGATCCAACGCCACTGCTGTTTCTTGAGACAAGCAGGTGGTAACGAATTGACTTTTTACTCTGCAGCCCTAGTATTAACAAAGCAGCTACATACTTATGAAAATTCATTTTGGTAAATCTATCTTTTGGGTTGCGATCTATCCCGTTGTTTTATCCGGTGGTTAGGGAAAATGTAGTAAGTAACCTTCTAAAAACACATGTCATTTTAAACACTCCTGCTCATCTCCTGAAATACTCAAGCTCAGTCCCAACCGAAAGGGAAACACCAAGAAACAAGAGGCACACCGAGGAGTCCAATTCTAGAATTCTTTACCCATTGAGGTGGTAAGAGCAACTTCCCAGGAGTCCTTCAAGAAGACACTTATGATACGTTTTAGGACTCAGAACAGCATTTCATTATAATTTAGTAATCTATATCTTTCACTCCTTAAATATACCTGGCACATATACACATATATACACCTGGAGACATCGGTGACCCACTGCTACTAGATACGGAAGCCCGTTGTGCGAAAGCCTATTCTGTTCCACCCACAATCATCTAAACTATTTGAACTAAATGTGGTTAGAAAGAACTCAATCTGATTATCAAGCCGGAAATTTTCAAAAAATGAACTCAGTGGTTCTTAACAATTCAATTCTGTTCATCCTAAGAGCAACCATAATTGTCGAGACAACTTTTCTGGAGGACGTAATTATTTTCGCAGCAAACTGAACGGCTTGTACACAATGATGACTAGAAACAAGCATGAGTTAGTAAAGGGTGGAAGATCTACCCAAGAGAATGAACGGATAAACAACCGCCCACTGAGTCTTAGTTATTACTTATCTTTAGAGATACGGGTTGACTCGCATATTATACTCCACCATATAGATGTTAAAAGCCAGTAGCCTGGTTGCGATTGATTTTTATTTGGATTTTTATTTGTTCAGCAGCACAGTGGAGCAAGGCGGCTATGACTTAAACCAACAAACTTTTCAACATGAGAAATGCGATAACGTAAAATACGACAACGTAGGGAAGAGGGTACATATTTTAGATCTATTATTTTAACCCCAAGTGATGTATTCGGTTTGCTTGTAGTTATCTAATCTAAGCTGCTTCAAAGCTACAGTTAGCAGATTCTTTTCATTGCTATTCTCAGGGTAAATGTTTCAGGTTGTCGATATTACCAGCGTGTTATATTTTTGTCTACCTAAACTAGATTCATTAACTTAACCTATTTTCAGGCAATCTGACTTTTCTCTTTCAGAATGTGTAGCAATATGACTCTTCTGGTCAGCTAACTGCATGTGGACTTGGAATAAAATAGAGTATTTAGAACTAGTTTATAGATTTATTTGGAAAAGTATTGTCTTTCAATACACAAAGCATAAGTTGTTACTACAAGGTCCAGTTTTTCGTATGAAATAAGTAACTGAACAAGATTTCTTCACCAGAACTGTAGGTATTTCGTGTCTCATTTAAGAAGAAATGTACCTTTTCTTGAAGTATTTTTGGTCATTAGAGTCAAGTTGTACTGTCTGTAGTGTCTAAACACCGGCATATAAAAAGCTGCAATGAGGACCATGCTGTCTTTGTATTTAAGAGAACCGATTCGCTATTTTTGTTCGTAATGAGCAATTGAGTATGGATTTTTTAACATAACATGCATTAATTTATCGGTACTTGCATTGTATCAGCATAATATTCCTTTAAACGACCCGAATTTATCTTTCAAAAACAGCCTCTAAGCCATCTATATGCTTTGACAAGTCCATCCTTATTGGTTCAGTGAATCGGACGCTACAATTAGTTGTAATTTTCCATTCTCCAGAGGGCATTTGATATTGAATAAGTGTCAGTTACTTTTACCTAATGAGAATCAAGCAATCAAGGGCTTATTGGCTACATCTATTTCAGTATTTGTAAATTGGTCATTTCTTTCAGTCTTTGTTTGAGCCATTGGCGTTTAGTGGCCTTTACGAATGGTAAGATGGCGCTTGCAAATAGCTGTGGACAATAATGGGCGTTCTGCTCTTTGAATTCACGTCTCAGTGCCTAGATTTACAATCAGAAAAATACTTACGGAAAACGATTTGCCACCAAAACACAATATTCGAATAAATTTCCAATGTTCTGCTGCCGGAGTGAAGAATACAAAGAACAAAATCGCATCAATAAAGAAATTGAGAAACAACTGAAGCGCGACAAAAAAGATGCTCGTCGAGAGCTTAAACTTCTCCTTCTCGGTATGTTCTACTAGAATCTGTTGCTATTTTGATCTTGGCTTATTGATTAAATTCTATCCTAAGGCAGGTGCCAGTGTATTAATTTAATTTATTAAGCTCGTTTATTTGTCTAATCTTCCTTAAGTTAGTCATTGGCATTATATTTAAAGAATCGGTTGAATATCAGGATAACATACATCATGGGGACCTTATTCGTCCCTAGCTTCTGATATCACCTATAATGTCTAACTTGTCTCGATGTAGTCTGAGGAAAGTGATTTGTGACGAAAGAAACTATTTCTCAGTATCCTGCGTAGAACAGCAAAATAGTGTAAAGATCTAACTTTCCAGGTTACCCAGTGCATGTCAAGTTACACAGATCTAGATTTGCAATGGTAGTCAAAATTTGTACTATTCGTGAGAAGTCCGAGTTGTCTTCTGATTACAGCCTTATTTCGCGCTCAACTTTTTGATTTAGATCCTGCTAGGGCTGTGTAAACCATGGTGATAAAAGTTCGTTTTAAGGTTCATACTGTTCCAAACTGTTGGCTGCAACCGAACAGCTATGACCCGTGGTCTTAAAATTGTTATCATTGACCTCTAAATAATTTATGCGCAGATTGGTCATTCAATATAGGGAAAAGCAATTGGCAATTAATCATGACAATAAACAAAGACAAATCTAGTCGAGCGGTTACCCGGATAATCTTGAGCTTTCCAGTCACAATGGAGTCCTATGATTCAAATCCTTGTCGAAAGCTTTGCCGAGATGGACGTAAATAATGTCAACTAATTCCCGTTATCTATCGACTCTAGATAGTTTTCCTTGTTCACTAAAAGTTTACAAGTCTTATTAATTATTCTTCCCATAGTTTTAGTACCTCTTGTTATGTATTTCGTCCGTTCATGGGGGATGTGTTCAGCAGCTCTGTAGCTTTGTGTAGGGAGAGATCTTGTTGGAGATCATGATTAGGAGGACCGACATTGTTGTGGTTTGCAGCATCTCTTATAAGCAGCCGGGGTGAACTTAGTATGTTCATTATAGCACCATTTGATGCAGCTGTCACACTATTGAACCAGCCGTAAAGAAATAGGTCAGTTTATTGCAGCTTTGTTTCGTCTGGACCACTTATTAGATAAGAGGATATTTAAGTGTTACATAAACCCAGGTATTTTGTTCTAGCATGGAGTCAATTTAAACAAAATACAGATAGCGATTTTTATGTTGGAAATAATTACAACCAGATACTTTACTCGTCAAGCACAAGTTCCACTGAACCTTCTAGATAGTATGTAAATTTTTCCCTATTCCAAATACTGAACGCATCATTTAGGTGATCGTACATCTGATTATTCTTACGATAAACTAAAAATTATTGATTGTATTCACACAGAAAATTCCAGTCGCTCGCATGAGTCATGATCTGTATTAATTTGTGCAACACCTCATCTTGTAGTGAGATACGCTGCCAAGTTTGTCAAACCTCTATTTTCTTACCCGGTTCAATAAACTCTCATTACCTTTCTACCTAGAATATCTCGTTCATTATATAACAACGCTGGCTATAGAACCCACTGGATTGCTAAATTAGAGTTCAGCATGCTATCAAGTTCAAAGGTTAGCTTAGTGGCAGTGTTGGAAATGCATTCTAAACACCCCAGACAGGCTTTTGTAACTTTCCTTAGAACTTCTGATTAACTATACTTTAAGATCGTCTGTGCAGTGTGCATTTAGCGTCTGGTATCCAATATCACCTAAAAGAATGTCCACTTACTCATTTCACTTATATTCTATCACGCCTGCCTTCAAACCTTATCCTAATGGTGGTTACACAAACAGAATCACTAGCCATGGCGGTACGTACTGATTAGCATAGAAATAGTTTAGAGAAAGCAGTGGTCAGACTAGAATACAACCCGCAAAGGCAAACTAGTGGTTTAAACATGGTAAGAAGTTTCAGACTTTCTGCTCGGATCTTAATTGATCTGTCACTAAAACAAGTCTGATCTTCGCTATCCACTAAATCTTGCATGTAAATTACCACTTCCTGTATATTCGTTTGTTCGGCGTTTTGTCAACTTGAGCCTATGCTTTTTATTAAGACATTATTGGTTCAAAGAGGCACCTAGATATTTATGAACTGCACAAGTTGAATTTGTGGGTAGACTAGGATACTACCGGGACGCCAAAATCGAAGCAGGTGGTTTTCTTATAGAATCACCCTCCGAGTCTTTGATCTAGAGGCCTAATCCACAAGGCAGTGGAGCAACGTCAAGAGATGCAGTCTCATGGTAGCCGGTTACCAACAGTAGGTTGTAATATGTTGTAATTGACTGACTGACCAATAATAGGTTTGTACGCTGTTTGTTCCCTCAGGATCGTGCGACCCATGTGTACCATCGGTTTGAAATTAAGTTCTTCTAACTACCCTAAGTGGATGGATCCTCCGTACCCTCCAACTCTGTTAGAGCTCCGCACATTCGCTTTCCGTTCTCTCAGTTTCTTGAATAAAATTTGTGCCACGAGAAGACATAGTAGGACTTTCTTGGCAGTGGCTATGTACTCATGATCATAAGAGCATTAGAAGTGGGAGAGCAGACTCTACACTCGTCCTTACCAAATCATTTGGGGGCGATTTCACGGTTGTTCATAGTATTTTCACGTATTCCTATCTGGATTATTTCTTTTCCGCCATATTTATGAAAAGTGAAGGAAATCATGCTAACTTTTAAAGCATGTCCTGCGCTTAAGCTTATTTTTTTAGCCTGATCACTTTGACAAAATGTTTTGACCACTTGGGAATTTCAATCTGTGTAATATGAGCCTGAATTATAGGATCTGTGCGACAAGATAACTAGTTTTGGACACCATTATTTTCGTCGCCTGTACTACTAAAGCACGATTATTCGTAATTAGATTCCTAAGTTATGTGATTATTTCTACCCTACTGTTCAGCGTCATTGTTGTAACATTAGCCAAATAACGTCCTGTTATTATATCCATCTAAAATCACAGTCAGGAGCCGGTGATTTTTATAACATTCATAATCACTATATATTTTGACACAAATGCGCATTGATCCACATTACCAATAGGTTCAACCACAAGCAACAGAAATTGCTAGTGATTTCAAGTAAATATTCTGCTTCTAAGCATAAACGGAATGTTGTTTCGCTTGATCGTATTGATGGTCTCCACTTAGTTTATCTTGAAAGCGATGATGTAGTAACAATTCAAACTTTAAATTCGTCTCTCTTGTTACGAATTCATCCCCTCTCCACCTACTATGGTTTAAAAGGCGGAAAAATGTGACTAAAGTACTAGTAGGACCGATTTGACAACGCGTATTTTTTCCTACTTTTTGAATTTCACCACTTTTACTAGGTACCGGTGAATCGGGCAAAAGTACTTTCATCAAACAAATGCGCATCATACATGGAGCAGGTTATTCAGACGATGAGCGGAGAACTTTCATCAAAATTGTTTATCAAAACATATACATGGCTATGTTTACAATGGTTCGTGCAGTGGAAAGTTTGAAGATTCCTTACGAAAACCCAGCAAACAAGGTTAGTTTTTTTCTAAAGTTCTGTTTTTGCCAAATAATTTATCATAATCATCATCGTTGGCAAAATTAAAAGTAATGTTATGAGAATTTTTCTAAGTGAATGTCTAGAATTGTCGGTATATCTGTTCTCTTTATGACTGTTTAGTCACTTAGGAAAATGTCTCAATTACTTCACCGAACAGTTGATAAATATTAGTCGTACGATTGGCCTTGTGTACATTCATCAGATTTCGTATTACATGACGGCAATCTCGATCTTTTACGCCTTATTTTTCAATTAACTTTAGTTCATGACAATAGTACTCAGGTTTTGTTTCTGTCCTTTTGGGAAGTGTGTCAACCCGATTTGCTGTACTTTTATGTTTTGTCACTTTAGTAAAAGAATGTTGATATTAATTAAAAATACTGTAATTATTCGAGTTAGTTTTTTAAACTGGTAGGTTTATAAACCCCCTTTCCTACTTTGATAGTTGCATACTATAATGATTATGATCAACTATTGTCTATCCTCTGGTATATACACACTAAAGAATGATGGGGGAAATTTGTAACTTATGTTAGTTATGTTAGTAGAATTTCGTTTCATAAGTTATATGGTTAAATTGTGAAGCTCTTTTTGTCCTTCTGGACAATGTGAGAGTAAATGTAAAGTCAAAAATCCCAACCAAAATAAATATGCAGACAGTGATAGGATAAAAGCTAAAAACAACCGTTGAAGACCAGAATCGACAGAACAAGCTGCCAGCCATATGTAAAGAAATCCGAGTAGGTCACTGCCATCTAATGCCCAAGCTAATAATGTCTGAAAGCATTATAACAGCCTTACAATTGAGTCACTCAATTCAAAGGAAGAAAGTTGACTAAAATTTCAGGGAGTGTCTCAAAAACTTTGGAAACTATATTCTCTCTCTCAGAACATGGTACAAATCAATGAAGTCATTGACAACTGGGGTTGGGGGTCTCTCGAGATGATTGTAACCGATGGTTAGAGACGTTGGACGACATGGTTCAAAGTCATTTGCAATGGCGCGGGTGCGTTCATTCTTTGTGTTCTCTCTCATCATCTATATCTTTCTCTTTTTAAAGTGATCTCACTGAATTATACTTCCTGAATAATATCTTCGAACTCTGATCTTCTCCATTACCCCTAATACTTCTACTGCCGTATGGCGACATGAACTGATGTACTTACGTACGAAGTTCTACGTTGCAACTGACTGACTGACTTCTACTGCCTCTACTACTATGAGATTTAAGTTGACAATTTGATCTCTGTGCGCTAATGCAGTATGGCAAGTTGAACTGATGTACGTACGTATGTACAAAGTTCTACGTTTTAGCTGACTGACTGACTGTATGTTCTATATTTTCAGTTATGCTAAAGATCCTCTATGATACCGATAATGTAATCAGTTGAAAAATATTTGCAAATAGAGTTGTATTGATATTCAAGTAAAAACAATAAACTTTTCAGATCATTTCATCAATCTCAAGTTTATTTTTACTAATTATTCAAAATTTATGCAATTTTTAACCTACAAATCATCACTCGATAAAATAGTTTTTTTTAAGACTTTTTAAACTTTCATCATTAATAAGCTAATTTTCTTCAGCTCATGAAAATAACCTTAAAATTAACGCATTGACACAGGGATGTGTCTAACTAATTAAAAAACGTTTTCAAAGCTTATTTCTTCCTCAATTAAATGTTACGAAATGTGCTAAATGGAAACTTTTTTTTCCACTTCTGGTAATTTTAGGCATATGGCGAAGCAATACGAGAAATTGACTATGAGACTGTGACCACAATGGAACCACAACATGTTGTAGCAATCAAATCATTATGGGATGATCCAGGTATTAAAGAATGCTATGATCGTCGTCGTGAGTATCAACTAACAGATTCAGCAAAATAGTAAGTGGATTCTCAAACATTTATGACGTTATTTAATGTGATATTTTTCGTATTCATAGTTATTGATAAACATGTATACTTCATCATGTTAACTTTATCTAGTGCCTCTTGTGACCAAAGCTTCACTTAGTTCCATGTACAGTTTGAGATGTCTGTGTACATTGCAATAGCCCACTATAGGTCAAAGTTTGTTTTATCTTGTCTAATTAATCTTATGCCGTGCGATTATAGGTGAATATCGACGATTTGTACTCTAAATAAAACTGAACCGATTGACGTACTATTTCTTGTTTTGGGATGTGAATCGCACCTATAAGTATCAAAAACGCTTCTCTCTTCACTAGTCTACTTCTGTCCTCAGTGTACTGTAAATGTATTTAAACGTAGATGTTTATCTAGTGTTATCCATAAATCTACTCAAAATTTAACTTTGAATTAGCAAGTAAATGGCTAACAAAAAGAATATTAAGTAGTTATAGCTCTAGAAACTCATGTGTCGAGCAAGAATTACACCAAATAATCAGGTCTTGATATTTAGGTAGCTCATGACAAATTGGACGGTTAATCCATTATAAATGCGATTAAAAATCAATAGTAAATCCATTTATTTATTTTATTACTGGCATTTTTTTTCTCTCTTTTAATGCACAGCTATTTAGATAATCTTGACCGGATTTCACAATCCGATTATCTACCGACACTTCAAGACATTTTACGTGTTCGAGTTCCTACTACAGGTATTGTAGAGTACTTGTTCGATTTGGATTCTATCATATTCCGGTAAGTTATTCAACCTATTCTTACCCTTACCAACGTTTTGCTGTTCCTACCCTAAATAACTGAACTTCAGAGTGAAGTGTTTTTTTATAAAATTAAAATCAAAGGAGATTAGTGCTAGGAAGCGACCAAAGAATAATCTGGTAAATCAACCATGAAAAATATCAAGTTCCAACAGTTACTGATACTTTTTTTACACACCACCATTACTATTTATTCGTTTAGTCAGTAAAGTCCTGATATTTGAATTAGAAAGAGTTATGTTTTCGTCTCAAAGTTGACACAGAGACATGATGACGGTACCTTATCAACAGGTTTTTAGAGGAAATAAAATTACGAAACACATAAACCCATTCTAGTAGCTAACAACTACCATCCAATACGATTACTAAGGGATTTGAACAAGAAGTCATCATCTCGACTGTAAACAAACATTTCAACTCAGTGAATCGACCGTAGAAACGAATGCGTTCTGCCAATAAAGTATTTTGAAATCGGAAAAGATTAACTAACTAACTAACCAGGTGGTTTCATTGTGTAATTGTGTTGTTGTACCTTTTTTGATTCTGACATGATTGTCTTTTCATTGTGTTACAATGTTATGTTTCTCGTTGTGTTTGTGTCGTCTTGAGTGTACCGTTACTGCTGGGATTAATTCGTTTAAGACTGACGTATTACCTCTGCTTGTTTCCTTGAAATTATACACGTGTTTCTGTATTAATTAGTAAGGTTTAGTATAAATTACAAGCTGATATTTTCAATGTGATAAAAAATCTACATCCGACATCATGAACAAAATTATTAGTGCAGAAAATACGTCCGAAATCGTGCTAATAAACTAGCAACAAAAAGTAAACAATTTCCAATCAGCCAGCAAAACGTAAAAAATAAAAAAAATGTTCAGTAACAGTTGTTCACTATAGAAATGTTAGTCATTTAATGTTGAATAAATGGAATATTTAACCGAACGAAATATCTCCTAACCTTAAGGTTTTTTTATCGTTTCATTTATTGATTTATTCTGGATTTGCACCTGTTCGATTCATTTTTTACTCCAGTGCATACCAACAAGTCATATAAACCGTTACATAATCAATTTCTTGAATAATAAATAATTCTATAAGTCAATAAATATATGTGCTCCCGATCGTAGCTGTTACCTTGACATGGTGGTCGGGCTTGCATATCGCGACAACCCAACCGAGCTATTCTGACTGGAACATATGTTCCCGAAGGTTCTACCATGCCAGGCAGGTCGATTGGAGAACATGAGACTGAAAGCAGCAACTCAAGGTCTGAGGGTGAAGTCTCACTGCTGATCGTAGAGGGATGTGGCAGCAGTAAGGCCCTTAGAAAACCAGCATCTGCAGCGGTGGTACCTTTTCACAACGGATGGGAGGGGTTAGAAAAGGTCGACCCTAGAAATGTCATGCCTCACCTTACCCCACGGTAAGACATTTTGAAGAGCGGAGCTAAAACTTCAAAACCTTCACATAAAAGGACCGTTTGTGACCGGCCTGAAGCAGTTATCTTTTGACTTCTACGGTCACACTCTCACGTCTATGAGACCAACACCAACTCACCTTCCTTCTCAGGTTCATCAAGAAGCACCCTTTCACAGTGTGGTATACGGGAAAGTGACATTCACCCTCATACCCGTAACAACAAACGAGGCCTAAATATATTTGCTACTTCATATCTTACTTGACGAATGGACATTAATTATTAGTTGAAGTAAAATCGGAACCTGTTTAACGGTAATCTATGAGTTAATCTTATAGAGAATCAGTTACTTGTCGAAATCAAACTTCTCACTCTACTTAACAGAGACGGAAAGAAGTGAATTGAAATATAATCTTGTTTAATGTATTGACATCTATGTGTTGTGGTAAAAACACACCGACATCAGCTAAATTCTTTCCATTCATTATTATGTGTATGTCGAAGTGATGTAATTTTTCACACAACTCAATTCTTGTCGTCAATATTTGTGCTAATTAAATCTTACTTTTTACTATTTTATTTTATTTTATTTAGAATGGTTGATGTTGGTGGTCAACGTTCGGAACGTCGAAAGTGGATACATTGTTTTGAAAGTGTCACTTCAATTATGTTTCTAGTTGCATTATCAGAGTATGATCAAGTATTAGTGGAATCCGATAATGAGGTATATTTTTTACGCTTTATAGCCTTTGGTTGTTTAATAAAAAAATTTCCTACTCAATGAGTAATAATCGTCAGAAAGTTTATGCGCTTAATTCATCCTATGTTTGTGCTTTTAAGGTAAAAATTGTTGTTCTATCGAAGAGAAACAACTTAGATTGCTTGAATGAGTTGTCTTAGGCTCTGTATGGTCAGACTGTATTCATGAGAGACAATTAGTCCTGTTACGCTGTCTGCTACGATTATTGATTAATTCACCTCTATATTACCAGTAGTAGGACTGGTGATATTCTATGTACTAACTGATACATTAAATAACAGCAACCAACTCCTTAACGCTTACTGATCGGTTCTCAAGCTACTTTCAACCACCCACAGTGCCTAATCAGAAGTTTTTGGTGCAGGAGTAGGTTGGAAGAAAGCTAGGGTCGGTCAAACCAAAACATGTCACAAATCTCTGAAGTCACTGACAAGTGGACTGAGTCATGCTGGTAGATGCGGACTATCTGGTTGGGGTCTGCGAGACAAAAGTCGCCGATTGTTAGAGACCTAGAAGGATATGGCTCAAAATCGTTTGCGATGGTGCAGGTAAATCCATTCTTTGTATTCTCTGAAATTCTAATCCTCTGAATTCCTCATCACCTCTATCTTTTTCTGAATTTATTTCTCTGAATTTTACTTCTTGAATAATTCCGAACCCTAATCTTCTCGATTACCGCTAATACTTCTACTACATCTATCACTATGGGATTTGAAGTGACAATTGCATCTCTGTGATGTGGTGTGGCAACATGAACTTATGTACGTACGTGCGCAGTACTACGTTCTAACAGACTGACTGAGTTAAACATTTATTAGTAGTTATTTTTGTAACATACGGAAGTCAAAAGTGTCTATTTTCTCGGACTAGACAACAGTTAGTTTTATGCATCAATCTATACTTTATTGAGTTTGGTTTGTGTTAAACTAACAGAATTTATAGTAAATCTGTGTAACTTTTAATGTGATCAGTGCATGACTCTGACTGAGTCACACTAGGTTCAAATGTATTGCACTCCCATTAACTACAATGAAATAGGATGCTGTAATTCAATCTCATCCAAATTTGCTTTAACACATCATCTATTGATTTGTATTCGTTTTTATTTTACTCTTTCAAAATCAATTTTAATGTAAATACGTTCAATGTAAGGTATCAAGATGATTCTCACCACAATTGTCTACTTTGTTTTTATAGAATCGTATGGAAGAAAGTAAAGCACTCTTCAGAACAATCATTACTTATCCATGGTTTCAAGAGTCATCTGTTATTTTATTTCTGAATAAGAAAGATCTTTTAGAAGAGAAAGTTCTCTATTCTCATCTTGTTGATTATTTTCCTGAATACGATGGTAAGTGTTATGATTACTTACTTTTTTAGAACAAAATTTAATCAGACTTTAACGTTTTTCTCATGCGTTATGTAAATTGTCAATAATTATCTTGAACCTCTGCAAAGTAATGTTGACTGTTGACGTGTGTTCATTGTATCAAGTAGGTTCTGGGCAAAGGAACAACTGTCATTCTTTATAATCGCAACTTGACTGGTTATCAATCAGCACTAATCGTTTAAGTAGATCAAAGCTGGAAGCACTGGTGGATGGCCGTTTTGTCCTGGTATAGGGACTCATCAGCAGTGTGCATCCACGACTCCACCTCGCAGGATTCGAACCCAGGACCTTCAGTCGTGCGCGCGAACACCTAACCTCTGGATGAGTCCCATACCGACACGAAACGGCCGTCCAGTGTTTCTAGGTTTCTAATGATGTTCTGACATCGATTGATTCATGATTTCATAAAAGTAACTCAACAATCTCCACAACCCCATAATATCAAAGATGCTATTTTTGTATAAAACCAAGGTATTTTTAACGGTACGTGTTGTGTTCATGAGGACACTGATTTTTTAAGACTGGGCTAATTTTGATATCACGTACTATATATTTCCAATTGGTCTGGTGACCTATTTCATGAATTTACATGTTAATGAATAAACCACAATCAAAGCCTTAACGTTGATTGATCCTCAAGTCTCTTCTCACCCAGTTAGTAAGCCAATCAGAAGATGATAAAATGTAGATCGGTTCTTTATGGTACTCAATTTACTTGTAAGACTCAATACGCAATAATACAGTGCTTGAGACCACACAGTACATCAAATTAGAAATTATATTTTAAGCATTATCATACCATAGATGGTAGAGGGTTAAGCAAACAGTGCAAAACTAATTAGGAATAACTGAAGTTTGGCACAATGTTTGGCTGCAGTTAATCGGCCCACTAAAAGTTTCCAATAGGGGTAATTTACAAATGCATCAGTGTGGTTATTTAATATTCACACAATAAAATAGATAATAATTCGAAAACTAGTTATGACCCCTTCCAATTTTCCTAATATTCGTCCCGTCATAACAATTAGCAGTTGCCTGTTCAACTGATGACTGACACTAACCAATCATAAAAAATGGAACGTCACATAATGGTCATGCGTATATAACCATTTTCAGGGATGTCCTACTCACTGCCTCTCTATGAGTGTGTTGTTTACGAAATTGAGAGGACGGAAAGCGAATGTTGTGCGCCTGATCTGTGTTGATGGGTACAGAAGATCCAGCTAGCTGAGTTGGGAAACCCGGATTCCAAACCATTGTTACATATGGGATCCACAGGATCCTACGGGATCTATTGTTGGTTACCGGCTACCATGGGACTGTATCTCTCGACGTTGCTCCAATGCCTTGTGGATTAGGCTCGTAGGGTTAAGGTTAAGAAACCACCTGCTTCAGTCTGGGCATCTAGGCATTATCGCAACCCATAAAAAACTCATTAATTTATCTAGCGCATCGATATCTGGATGCCTCTTTGTACCATTAGTGTATTTAAATAAAGTTCCGACGCCTCAATGGGTGGTATATATGTATGTCAGCAGTTTCAAGCATTATATATTATTAAAATATTGGGACCTTGAAAGTATTGTGTTGTCTACCTTATTCTTTGTGAAGATCAACGTGACTTAGTTTCGTCACCATATCTTTTTCCTGTTAAGAGCAAGTTTATTGATTTTAGGTCTGATCATACGTTCTTGGGTTTGATCAAGGTTCCATCTTATGAGATTCAAGCAGGTAGACGTTATTAGTTTTATCATACTCTCTTAGTCATTTTGTGGTAGAAACTGTAGCTAGCAGGTGTTTTTATATGGTCGATAATTCCAAGACACACGGAGAAATTTGTATTCATTCGAGTGGATTTACAAGCATTATTGGCATCTCTTATCTATAGTTCCCACTTTTTATTAAGATACTAAGAAATAAGTATTATTCAATAGATTATCTGGCTCAAAACCTCTCACAACAGTGCAAGTGAATTCAATACTTATCTTCCTTCTAGATCTTACACTTTTAAACTATCGTATGAATGCTTTTGGATTATCCAACTGAAGTTTTTTTCTCGGATCATATTTTTTATGTCTGGTGTTTTCTGTCAACACTATATTACTATTATTACCTGTACTTTTCTGGGATTTATTCTAACAATTTCATCTCATTTCTCTATATTAATGAGGTGATGGTATGTGGCAACTTGCATCGGTCTACATGCACACACACACACATTCCAGGTTGCATTTTAATTATAACTGACTGATTGACTGACTTGGAGGTTCGTATACCTACTTAGTGGGGCTATCAAAATTCATAATGATGTGTACTACATTGTATCATCATTCATTGGCTAGTGAATGAAATTCATGTTTGTTCAAAATTGTTACCTGGTCGTTAATCATTCAAACACAGCTTTTTCTTTGATACTACTACTGTGGAATCGAAACTGAGGTTTGGACTGAGGAATTTTTGTCTAGGTAGTTAAGATACGCGTCTTGCCCAGTTGAATTCAAAACAAGTGATTTGGGTAAACAACGGTTCTAATATTAATCATAAATATAAATATACATCATGACCTAAACAAATATTACCACTCAGTTATTCCACCAACAATTGTCCAATTATTCAAATCCACAGCAACTAATAAATGTCATTCCATCCCTCCTGGATAGATCAGATTCTTTGGACCGATAATATTTGGTTACTAAATAACACAGAGTGTTTCTTATTCTGGATGAGTGCTTCAATTCACAATCAAGATGCACAATTCGAGTCAGTGCAGCCAATCCAATTAAAAGAGGAACACATCAATATGGCTGTCGCCATGACTAATAAGTATCAGCGTAAACAACATCAGTGCATTTCAGAAAGAAACATAGAAAGAAACCCATTTAAGGCAAAAGAAATAGAAACTATAATAAAATACAAATATCATCATCTCAAAATGGAATCGAACAGATTAACAAAATGTACAACTGAAAGAATCAATAAAGACATATTACAAATGTATACATGGAGGGATTTTCACAAACAAAGCCTTTAAAAAAAGGATCTTACAACAACTACTCGCACTACTACTGTGGTGTGAGCTACTTATAAGTAGTATATGACGTGAGTGTCAACGTAATGTCTGGCAGCGGAAGATGGGGAAAGATCAAGAAAGGAAGAGTTAGAAAACAATGGAATTTGTATGAAACGCATGAATAGTGACAATGGATTGATGTTTGGCAACAGGAACAGTCCAGTTCGATAGGATGGACTGATAATTTGCAAATGAACGATTCACGATATGGTTTTCCAATTTTACTGAGTAACTCTGTAATTTCGCTAAATACAATTCGGTTGCCCCACCTGTGTTCTCGTTCACTACACTACTACTCTTGTTTGTTAAAACTCAAATACCACAGATATTACTGTCTTTTTTTCAATGAGATGTTGTTGTTTTCCTTTTTGCTGTTGTTGTTGCTTCAAGACATGCATTCAAATGAAATTTCACTTACAAATTATTTATACGGTAATGTTATTTATTTATTTTTTTTGTATTTGACTCATTTTCCACAACAATTAATTTACATTTAAAAAAAATTGACCAAAGTTTCGGACAAAATTAAAACAAAACAAATAAAGAGGTCATGTAATGTGGAGAAAAAAAAAGAAGAAAGTTTAAAAGGCCATCAAAAGTTTTATTTTATTTTATTTGAAAAATAAATAAATAAACATACGTACGCTTGTAGGTTAAATTTAATTCACCAAAATAATAGGTTTAGCAAGTTTATACTCTTATGTCATGATCAAAATACGTAATACGTAGTTGAAAAAAAACCCGTTTTATTCTCAATGGGCTTATGTTGTATTCGGAAATAGGTATGATTTACTATTTCTGATCATTCATAGATCCTTCCAATTCACAGCCACTTTGGACTTGTTCTCGTATAAATTTATTTTTCTCATTCTATAGTGTGATGTTATCTGTGTTTGATACATAAACTGTGTCTGCTTGAAATACAATCAAATTTTCTAGAGGCTAGCTTACGGACTTCTGCACTAAGTGGTAGGTTGTTGGAGACGTTAACTCCCCAGAACTCACACGGGAAAAGTCATAATTTTGTGATTTATTTCTGAAATTTCGGATTTCTATATTTTCATGCCAAGAGACGCTTAATTGACTGACCTAGAGCCTACATTTCCCACTCAGGAAATCCTTAACTGTTATTGGTTGATGGATTATTTTAGTACACTATTTTGTGCCCCCCCCCCCAAGGGCGTTTATTTCATTGTATAAATGAACTTGATTTGTGTGCTTAGCATTATACTTGATTGCTATACTTGAATGATATCTCCGAACCCTAATCATCTCCATTGCCGCTAATACTTCTACTCTCTCTACCACTATGGGATTTGAACTGATAGTGGGGTCTCTGTGCTAATGTGGTGTGGTAACATGAACTGATGTGGGTACATACGAAGCTCTACGTTGTAATTGATTGACTGACTGACTGACTGATTGTTTTCTGGGAAGTTTGATTAGTTTGCATCAATACATGTCAGTGATAAGATTCCTCAAATAAACTATTTCACCATGGGTAACCCCATTAGTTCAGTGTATGTGTACGTATTTTGGATGTACACATTTTTTTTCTCATTTTAATGCCTCACCAATGATTAATTCAAAATGCATTGGTTTGTCGTAGTATAGTAATGATAGTATCATATAGCAGTGAGCTAGCTAGTCAGTCAGTCAAACAAATTCTCGAGTAGGTAACAGTTATAACAATATCAGTAAAGTGTATACACAAATATAATTTAACATGTACTTTTTCTCTTACCTTTAAAGGTCCTCAACGTGATGCCGAAGCTGCACGTGATTTCATTTTGAAAATGTTTGTTGAATTAAATCCTGATCCTGAGAAAATAATCTATTCTCATTTCACATGTGCTACAGATACAGAGAATATACGTTTTGTTTTTGCTGCTGTCAAAGATACCATACTTCAATTGAATTTGAAAGAATACAATCTTGTTTGATAAAGAATGATTTTGCATATTTGCGAATGTTATGTATCATTTTCTCAATAATAATATATTAACGACTAATTATTACTGTAGGGTATGTTGGGTGTATATTTTTTATTTTCTGTGTGTGTATTGAAATTGTTGGACTTTTTATTTTATTTTTTAAATTCTGTTCATTATGTGTAATCAACGGTCCAGTCATAGCTTATGGCGAACTGTCATCCAGACGGATTACTTCAAATGATGTTCGTTAAGGTTGTCCCCACCCTTCTCCATTCTTATTCAACTTTGTTATTGACTTGCTTTTACAGACGACAGTTTCATCGTCTGACTTTTACCAGGAGATTCACTTGTCGACTTAAAATATGCTGATGACGTATTTCTGTTTGGTGAAGACTGACAAAATGCACAGTCTTCTGATCACCCTGAGCAACAATGTAAGCATGTTCGGGATGCGATCTCCCCTTGAAAATGCATATTGTTGCTTCAGGATTGGGTTGTATTGGCACTTGATGGGAAGTGAAGGGGTTGCGCGTGTTGACCGCTTCACTTATCTCGAGAGTTTGATCAGTGCTGATGACCCGGTGACTGACTGACAGAACGGATACAGAAAGCTCGATTGGCTTTTCACCAACTTGTGTCACTTATGGCGCAGGAGAGATATCCGTCTGCTAACGAAATGGCGTGTTTATAGCTCAGCAGTTGGCTCCGTCATACTTTATGGTTGTGAAACATGGCCAGTTACAGTAGAGGATATTTTTAGGTTACTAGTATTGGATCATAGGTGTTGTAGAAGCAGTGCTCGTTTATCCTGGGACTATCGAGTAAGCAATGTTGTTTGATGTAGAGTTAGGCTGGCAGAAAGCTAGGTGGGGCCGAAACAAAAACATGGCACAAATCCATGATGTCACTGACAAGTGGACTGAGTCATGTTGGTAGATGTAGACTACCCGGTTAGGGTCCGCGGGACAGCAGTAACCGATGGTTAAAGACCTTGAACGACGTGGTTCGAAATCGTTTGCAATCGTACAGGTGCATCCACCCATTGTCTTTTTTAGAAAAAATATATCTGTGTATAAATGTAGAAATTAGTTTTGTAACTGTTTTGTTGAAGCTTTTCAATCACTTTTCAGCATCATTTAACATGATTATCTGAGAAAAAATATGGTTAACTGTCTCTTGATTCAGTGACATTTAATTCATCCTTATCAATATAGAATGTGACAACAAAAAAAATAATCCGATTCGGTTTAAGTTACCGTTACCAAATTTAATAAGTTGTCAGGCAGTTAAGAAAATGATTGTATGCTACCAGTGGAGTGGTTAGTTAGTTAGTTGCGTTGGCTTTCAGTCACTATGTGCTTAGAGTTCGAGCTCCGCCTCACCTACTTTACTTTAAGCCACTTGGTTAATTGTGTCAGTCGCCCTTATACTAAGGAATGTATATGACGTATTTCCAAATACTTGACGTTTGTTTTCATATTTTACTAATGATTAACTTTTTTTATAAAAAAATTAATAAATTGTTCGAATCTCATTATTGTTGTCGTTATGTTACAGCCTTCCATCGTACGCTTCAAAAATTCAAATTGTTCTCAGCTAATCCAATCCAATGTATGTATTTGTCAACAGTTCTAACAGTCGTCAATCCAATAACTGCTAGTCAGTTCTTTTTTTGTTAAAAAAAACGCAACGAACTCTCCTTATCCATACTCTTTTAAATTCTGCGCCGCTGCCGCCGCCAGTTTGCCTTTCTTCCACGTTCGTTTCGTGTTATTTATGCATATACATATACATATATATATAAATATTTGAAACGATGATACACGCATTATACACCTCTGTAATCTGCCAGTAAAACTGCTGTCAACTATATATACCTGTCATCATTCAATAATTAATCGAAAAATAATGATGCAATAGTGTAACTCCTACCATCATCATCAATCCGTGTACTGTACTCTCTGATAGAGTTATTTTCTTTTCTTCACTAACCTCATCATTATACTCTCTTATTTTTTGTCTCTTCACATTCACACTTGTCTATTTCGCCGCTGCTGCTGCTGCTACTGTCTTTTCTTCGTCCATCTCATCTTCTCAGTGTATGTATGTACGTCCCGCGTTATTCGGTTACCAAAAACTGCATTCACTGCCGCCGGCGCGCGCTTACCTAGTCATACGCAGACGTTGGTTTGTAGTAGTAGTAGTATTAATAGTAGTAGTTCAGCATTCGAACTACTGATTCTTCATTTTTTTTAGAAAAAAATCTTTGTTTTTTTTCTACTGTACTTCTTCAATTGTCGTTTTGTTGATAAAGGAGTAATCGTTTAATTTTTTTTAAAAAAAATTACTTTGTAATGCCAATGAGCTTGTTTGTCTGTAATCATAATAATAATGGCAATAATGTTTGGTTCTTCTCCTTTCCTGCCCTCCCTTCCTTGTTTGGTTAGCTTTCATTGTGGTTGTTTACTTGTTTACTTCTTCTCATCTGTTTTTTTTAAGATTATAAACAGGACAGTCCTTCTTGGGTTATCATGTGAATCGGTTCTATCTACGCTGTTGTGTGAGATACACAGCAGTGAATGATTGATTTTTTTTTAACTGCATGCCTTCAGTTTGTGTGTGCGTGTGTACGTGTCGAAACAGAAATCTCTTTTGGTTTTTTTCTAGTCATCAAGTTTACTGGTAATCATAATATGCTGTTAGTATTTTGTTCTTGTTTTTATTATTATTATTATTATTATTATCTCTTTTTGTCCTACTTACTATTGACTAAATTCCCACTTTAAGCTGATGTGTTTATTGTACTTTTCTTCTTCTATACATACCCAATTCGTTTGTTCGTGTGTGTGTATGTGGGGGTCCGTCTCCTACCTCCCTCCGACTGCTTTCCACTTTGGGGAACTGGTCGTCACCGCGGCCGCCGTCGTCATCATCTTCGTATTTGTACGTCCAGAAGTGGAAAAGAAAGAAAAAAAGTGGAACTCTTGTTCACACAGTGTGTTATCATCCATCCTCAACTGTAATAATAATGATAATAGTAATATTTCGTTTTTGTTTTATTGAATTTTGCATATTTTAATAATATCTCAAGATCCAGACATTTCTTCCTTCCTTCCTTCGTTTTTTTTTACTAAAAAAGAAACACCCCCCCACACGCACACACGAACGACCAGAATAGATTGATCTTTGACGCGTTGTTTTCTCTTCTGTTCATAATGTTGCTGCTACTTTTCTCCGACTTTTTTTCATTTGTTAATTTGCATTTCATTTTGTTTTTCGTTGGCGAAGATTATCTGATCTCTCTCTCTCTCTGTGTACCCTTGAGTGTATTCTTGTTCAATTTCTCATGAACAACAAATTGATCTGTTGCTACAATTCTTTCTATGTAATGGTGTATTTATTATGACTATTATGATTATGATTATGATTATTGTTTCCGAAGAATAATACATAAAGCAGTTAGTTTTTTTTGTTCTGTTCAATTTCATTCAAACCGAAGATTTTGATTGTCGATCAATCAATCAGTCAGTCAGTTGTTCGCTGATTACAAGACTACTTACTATACACTGTGTAAAAAAAATAAGTTACTCATGCATTGATCTATAATTCCATTGTATGTCAGCTTTCTCTCTGTGTGTGTGTGTGTGTTCTGTCCGTATTGCATTCATTCAAAAAATCATTGTGCTTCAACACACGTTTAAGGTGATGCTTTGATGTTGATGATGAAGATGAAGATCCAGAGGCTCTCTGTCTCACGCGCACAAACACACATATGCCAATTGTACTTGTCATTTGTAATTGCCTTTCAATGTGTGTGCGTGTGCGTGCCGAAGGGATATTTTTTTTAAACAAATTGTTCGAACAGCATTTTAATTTTTTCTCAACTAAGCGCGAAATATTATGCTCTACTCTGTTGTACTTTTTTACTACTATTATTATTACTGATGATAATACAGTATCAATATCTTGATGCAAGAATCAAATACTTTGAACCGATATACGTTTCCCTGAATGAATGAATGAATGTTCTCTTTTTTGTCTTCTGGTTTTTACTTCAACAAATCAGATCTAGCAGAAGTAGTAGTGGTTGGTTGTAGTCGTAATTAGTGATATTAATTTATAGTATTTTTTTTCCACATTGATCATTCAATTATTCATTGTTCTTTTGTTTTTGTTGATTTAGGTAATATTTTTTAGATTTCGTGTATGTATGTGTGCGTGTGTGTGGACGCGTGCGTTGAATCTCTTTCGAACTAATGCTTTGTTGTACATCAACCTATTATTATGAAGTGCAATGACATTTGACTTCTTCCTCTTCCTACCTTGTATACTGCAATTAAATCAATTATTTTCTTTCCCGCATAATTTCTTGTTCTTTTTCTTATTTCTCATTTTCTCGATCATCATTTTTTTTAGTTCGAACAAAAATGAGCAAAATGCTACTTAACACGTTAATAGTAGTAGTAGTGGTAGTCTGTTACAACATGTTGAATCTATTACTTATATATATATATGTACTACTTAATTTAGGTTTATTTTTTTGTTGCTTTGATATAATAATAATAATAATGGCCACCAGCTTTTGTTATTCTTGTTATCCTTTGATACACATTCTCTAGCCACAGTGTTTTTCTTTTGTTGTTGTGGTTTTTCTTCACAGTTTTAATCTTCTCTCTTGATCAATAAGATTGTGTAATCTCAATGATTTGATAATTCATGTTTTTATTGTTTCTCTTTCCCCCCGCCTACATGTGCACATCCACGCACGCACTCACACACACAACACAAACGCGTGCGCAAACAACAATTTTGGCTGATCCAATGTGATCAATTAGTGCAAAATGTGTATTCAGTTATAATAAATAAATGGTTTTGTAACAGTTTGTGTTTGCTCTTTCATTGCTTATATACTATACTATGTGTGTGCACGGGAAGTTATTGGAAGTACTCAGTTACTTTCAAATCGAATTCATGGCTTTTGTGTGATTTCTGATTGGTTATTTAAGTTT